CAAATATAGAACCTAGAGAGCTTTACGTATCATGTCAGAGGAAAGGAGGCAGCAAAGGAGTAACGGTTAAACAGTTTCCTAATATTCACTGAAACTTGATTTCCCTCTTCCTTCTATAGATAAAACACTACTGAGTAATATCAAGTATATGAATTACAAGCCTATCTCTTAAGAACAGAAATTTTTATTGAGAAAAAGTTGAAGATAACTACTTGAAGTTTCTTTGAACATCATTTAAAAAACTATTCTAAGGGCTGAAGAAACTAATAAAATATAGAATGGTCTTAGTTGTCATTGTTAGAGAAAAGCAAAGAAGAAATCCAGGTAATCTAAATCTGACTTTGAAATGTGATTTGATATTTACATATTGAGATGATGTATCTGATAGTCCAGACATTCACGATATTTAATAAACTGAGTATTTTCCCAGTCCTTACTGTGACAGTGTCTTTATCATCAGGGATCAGTCAGCATAACAGAATCCATTTGATGTATTCAAATATAAAATGTTTAGTGTGGAATTAGGAATTCTCAGGAATGTTGGAAAAGCTGGGGGTGAGGATGGGGTGAGTTGGGGTGAGAGGGGGGCAGAACAGGTAGAGGTCAAGAAAGCAGCTGCTGAAGGTCAAAGAGGTTGATCCTAACAATGTCAGATTATAGCATCAAGTCATGCTTTTCAGAAATTTTCCTGGAGCTGCTACAATACTTGAGAAACTTCAAAAAATACTGCCAACTCGGTCGGCTGAGTGACTCACTTGGTTAAGAGTTAGCTTAACAGCGCGAGCACTGAGCAACAGGGCTGCTGTTTTAATTCCCACATCTGCCAGTGACACTGCGCCTCAGCTGAGCTGCCAACAGGTGGCAGGATGGCTCAGCTGATGTAACAACAAGATTTCCTGTTCGATGGTGGGCTATGCCCACCTGCAACTAAGACTGAACTCGACACCTTGAGCTGAACTGCTACCTGGATGGCTCAGTGGATAGAGTGTGCTCTCTTAACAAGGCTGCTGGTTCAACTCCCACATGGGATGGTGGCTATGCCCACGCACAACTAAGATTGAACACAGCACCTTGAGCTTAGAGGCCACAAGCCGCTGAAGGGCAGCCAGATGGTGACTGGCACCCTCCACAACGAAGATTGAAGAACAACAACTTGGCTGGTTCCCTTCCCCATTTCCCCAACACTGTTCCCCTCCCTCAATTCCTCAATAAAATCTTTAAAAACCCCACAAAAACTACCAACTATCTCAGGCAAAGTGGATTATTATAAAAAATTTGCTGAAAAGCCACTGTGAATCTTTCATCGTTCAAGTATGTAGTTGCAAATGCCTCTGAAAAAAATAATGGCTTCCTATTCATTTCCACCTTCTAACTCCCTGGAATGCTTTTCTCATTGGCAAACTCTAACTCAGAACCACACAGCAAAGCAGATTCTGGAAAATGTAGTTCCTAGCCTTAGAAGGAAGTGACAAGTGATGTCAATGGGACATGTGAGACATACTAAATGTACTGCATCTTACTGCTTTGGACTATATTCCTGAGAAAAGCCATCATTTTTCAGTGATAAAAACACCATATTTAGTTTCTTCTGTTTGTTTTTCCCCTTCAGTCTTTCTATTGTTCTCACCTACACAATTTCTGGACAGGGGAGAAGAAATAATGATTTCTTTTTGGTTTTAAAGACCTGCTTGATCATTGTATTTATGTTGGAAAAGAGCCTGAGCATATCGGTTTCATCTTTCCATTCCTTGGGTACCTTGATTTATTTTGGTGTAGAAGCAAGAGAGAAACTATCACAAATAACAAAAGAGAAATGCATGCTTACTAAANTTTTTTTTTTCTTTTCATAAATTATTACTTAAAATTAGCAGCCATTTTACTGGTCAAAGTGAAAAATGAGAAGCAACATAAATGTCTTCACAATTGGGGTAAAGGTAAATCATAATGATTTCTATCAGTGGAACATTATACAAATATTAAAATTATGTTTTTCAAGAATAAATAGTGACATTGGAAATGTTCTTGATAAAATTGTAAGGGAAAAGATCCTTTAATCATTAATGTTTAACTTTCTCATTTTTCATGAAAATTTTTATGGTTTGTGATAGGGTTTGACTACTAAGTTATATTTTTAATTTTTTTATATTTCTGTTTGCAGCTATCTGTTTTCAGAAATGTAAAAATGGTGGCGAATGTATTGCTCCCAATATATGTCATTGTCCTGCCACATGGGGAGGACTGCAGTGTCAAATACGTAAGTAAGCCTACAGAATTTGTTTTCTACTTATATGTTCTGAACGCAAATCTGTTTTAATTATTAAAGAAAGTACAGCATTAGAAGAAATCCATATGGAAAAACTTGCAGCATTCTGATCCATGAAAAAAATGATTTTAGAAATAAAAGGAAATCTTATCCATTTTTTACCCATTTAATTTTAAAAAGTATGGTATAATGTGTTAATATTTTGTGGGACATAGATAGTTCCAAATTACCGTCTATGAGTTGCCAGTGAAGTTCTCTTAGGTAGGCTGAAGAAGGTTTTAATATGTAGTTGAAATATTTTTCATATTATAATATAAATACATATTTATCATGGAAATCATAGACAATAGGAAAAAGTTTTAAAAATTAATCACTCCAAATTCCACCACCTAGAACTAATTTGTGTTGTTATGATTTTAGTATTTTAATATATTCCCACTTAGTTTTACTCATAAATTTTTACGCAGATGAAATCTCAGGGTATAGAGGAAAATCAAATTTTATGCAATTTTTTCATTTATGAAAAGTTGAAATAACATGCTAAAATACTGACGAAGATTAACTTAGTGTGAAAACTGGAAATCCACTTAAATTTTTTCAAATGATCAACAATTACATAATTTCAAAACTGTTGATCCAAGTGTATTAACTGAAATTACACAGTTGCCAAATGACCATGCCTTTTTCTAGAAATACCTGTCATGCTTGTTTACATCTTATAAACCACATCTGTTTCCATGTATCAGAAATGCTACACATGATTTTCATGACTCTTAGGCTTAATTTTAATAGTAATTACTATTATAAATTATACATTTCTCATCCTAGGAAAATATTATCAAAGAATTCATGAAGTGCTAGTAGTTACATAAGAAACATGTGCTCAAAAATCAGTAATTCTCATTGGAAGTTATATATGATAAAATGCTAGAAGAAAGTTGTCAACCTCAATTTGGGCTACTCATTCTGGAGAGAACTCTATGTGACCAGGAGAGAGAATGATGAGATATTAAAAGCGTATTAATGTGGAATATGCTCCAATGACTATGGATGGAAGTACTTGGAGCACAACCTGAAGATGTGCACCCTGTTTTTACACCTAGCAGCACCTTTATGTGTATTTTGTTAACTGTTCTTTATTTTTCAATGACAGCTGATACTCAATATTATATTAGTTTA